ATTGATGATCTCGGCAAAAAATAATAAAAGTGTTCATTTGATGATTCCTGAACAATAACGTCATAATTCTGATAAGCACACGATGATTAGATGTTTCCAAATAAGGAAAATCTTACAACTATACTAGCCAGTGGTAGCATCCTTTTAAAGATAAAATAAAGTGTTTATGCCAACAAATGGCTCAAACTCCTTTAATTGCACCTAAACACACAAAGTCAAAAGATTTGCCTCTATACTATATCAATGATTAATTTGCAGTGCGCCCTAACGTATAGATTTTTTTAAAGGGAGGGTAATTAGTAAATAGAATGAGTCAAAGTTGATGAGTATGAGTTCAAGCGCCTCCTCCTATATATTGGCAGTTGTAAAAGTATTCGGAGCAAAGAAATTACTAGAATATATCGTCGTTTACAAACCTCAAGTTTTCGATACTTTTTGGATCCATTCAAAAAGTTTTGAAATATATAGAAAGAATAAGGAAGTGTGCCTGATTTAACCTCTTTTTCGAGAGATGGCATCGGATTATTCAAATATTTATTTCCGGTCAACAATGCACTCGACTTTGCGCAGCGAACATCGACCCATCGAATATTAACATTCAATCATTCAATTAAATGAGTGATCAAATTTATGAACGCTGAGTTTTGATTTACAGATGCTGAAGAGACGTGCTTGGCTTGGACAAGTTGCAATACTTTGCATTTTAGAGTCGAAAGAGGGGACCTCTTGTAACACCAACTATTAAGGCTCCTAGCAATCTCAAGTGTGGTCTAAACATCAAGCATTTAATTTTAAAACTTCAAAACAAATCATACTATGCAGAAAACAGATACATCTATTCGATAGAAGTCGCTTTAATATTAAGGCTATCTTAATGAACCTCACTCGGAATGAAGTTATGCAAAAAAACACAATAAGAACTGGGTTGCTGGGAGCGCTAAGTCTGAAGTGCCCAGCAATTATTTGTTCTTTTCTTAGTCTATCTCCCTTTGGAAGGATTAACCATATGAAATTTGAATGACAAATTTGCTCTATCGCTCAATCACCAGATCCTTATTGTTAGAAGTTTCTTAATATTCAAGCATTTTTGCCAATTTACATAAGCTCATAGTAAAAAAACACTAGTCTCACGCAGTATTTCACAATCGGGTATTTTTGGCCGATTTTTCTAAGAAGTTCAAATGCTCAGTCTCTATGATTGTAATGATCGCTATGTTTAGGAAAATTCTCGAAAATCGCGGTATTGCCTATGCGGATCGCAAATCACGCGTAAATCACCTGGCGTTCAATGGATCGCGATCATGGCCGGGTAATGCGTGTTTTCGGGCATAATTGAATGTAAATTCT